AACATTCTAAGTAATCTCAGAAGTGCATGTTAAATATGTACTCACTGATGTTAATGTATCGTATACCATGTGGTACACTCAAGCAATGTAATATATTCTTTACTGTATTGTTTCTTCATTTGCATATTTTAAATGTAATGTAAACTGCACACTAATCAATGTATTGTATACCGCACTGTATCATCATGTAATGTAATGTACTGTTTTATCATCTGCATAGTTTAAATGTAATGTACGTGCAGTGTTATGTAATGTAACTTCGCCTTCTAGGCAACGCATTTTTATTGTGTGCAACATACATCAGCGAATTGTACGCAGCATCACCATGCAAGACGTCTACGGTACTTAAAGAGACAACAGTACCTTAGTATATAGAGAGAGTTTACCCATACAAACATCCGGTCGGACAGGTTCTCTCGAATTTTCCTCTGAGATGGCATTACTCCGCTTGGTTTGTCTTTAGGACGGAGGCCTTCTCAGAGAGTTTATCCTCTCATGCTAGACGCCGTCGAAGGCTTTCGCCACGTCTAGAATGAGTAAGGCGACATTTAACTTATTGTGGAAAGCGCTGCCGATAAATTAAGATAAGCGAACAAGCTGCTTTGTCAAGAGATTTTTGCGGAAACCAAATTGTTCTATAGGGAGCTTGGTCGAAGAAAGGCTGCATTCTAGCCATGATGATCTTTTCAAAAATTTTGCCCAAGCCAGAGAGAAGGCTGATGGGCCTGTAGCCTTCTGGTTTTGTGAGGTCTTTTCCTGGTTTGGGAATAAGTATTATTTTAGCTCTCTTCGAACTCGTGGGGAAGTAGGTGTTCTCTAAAGAAGCATTTATGATACTGCATATTTTGTTATAGTATTTATAGGGAGATGTTTTATAGCCAGGTTTACTGATGTCAACACAACATCTTACCCTGGGGCTTTTCTGTCTTTCAGCTTCTTTATAATACTGTGGATTTCCTTAGGTGACAAGAAATCAGTCTTATTTTTAACCGTGGGCGCAGAGAGCCAGTCAGAAACAAAATTATTGATATATTCAACAAAACTATAGTCGCACGGATTATCATTTGGCCTGAACTAGTTTCCTAGATGATCTGCAAGTATTATGGCTTTATTCTTATTAGTGATCGCAGTCTTATTTCCAGTGTAAATTGGCCTCTTCAAAGTAGGTTTCTTTTTATTCTTTTGGAAAAGGCCAGAAGCATTCGTCCGAATCGTTTAATTTAAGGATTTTCTTCTCCCACCTTTCTTGTCTAAATGTGCTTATGTTATACTTAATTTTTATATTTATCTCATTTAACCTTCGGAACCCGAGTTAGACTCCGCCTTTTTCAGAGTCTGTTGCTTTCTTTGATTTGGTCCCGAATAAAAGTCGGGAGTCGATCAGCATTGTGATTAGCTGAGATTGTATACGTAGCAGTATCAATTGCAGAAGCAATGCTATTCACGAGTGAGTCAATCGCAAAATCAATATCAGACTTAGTCTTTAGGCAGTTTATCTTTAGAGGATTATCAGAGAGTATACTTTCATAAAGCTGCCAGTCCATAAGCTTCTTTGGTTGTTTATCAATATTTTTAACATCCCGTAGGGTAACTATGATAGGAACGTCAGATGTTAAGTCTTGTTTAACTTCCAGTGGCATAGGAATCTTAGATGTGGCAAGGACGATGTCTAGAATGTCCGCAAAAAGCGGATTTTCTTGGCAGTAAGTGGCCTCTTCAGGTGCGTAGAGAGTAACTTGATGATCTGTGATGAATTTTTCCAGTATATCACCATTTTTATTTGCTTTACGACAATTCCACATATTACGTTTTCCGTTTAAATCGCCTGCCAAGATCACAGGCTTATCACTCGAGTACTAACATCTAACAGTACCATTGACTGGTTATACATTGCACAGAAATAACCGTGCCATATTTTGGAATCACAACAGAAACTGTAACCGACTCTGCCCATTTCTGCGATCATCCTGAATAAAACATGATTGCAGGGAATTACGTACGTAAATTGCGGCCCCCCCACTCCTATGACTTAATCTGTCACACCTATAACATCTGTAATTTGTAAATTTAATGCTATTGCTGGCCGTAGAAAATGTCTCGGTAATTAAGGCGATATCAATCTCATAGCTTAGAAGGAAATTGTATAGTTCATGAATTCTGTTGAGAATGCTGCGCGCGTTCTAAACCATTAATTTGATCGGCGCCTTATTAATGTTGTACTTCCCCATTAACAGTATTTACAGCTGGGGTTTTGTCTTTACCTAATTGATTCAGTCGTCTAATTTACTCCTGTAGAAAAAAGCCAGCGCTTTTAATAGTTGAAACTAGTTCACCTAAATCGTGAAAAACATTGTCGCTTCACTAAGTGTATCAGAATATAGTATACCAGTCGAGAGCACCTGAGCAAACGACTTCTCGACAACACAACTAGGGTACAGTTTGGGTTTGTCACTTTTATTTTTAGGGAACTTCTTACACCCCCTAAAACTGGCGGTATGAAAAGAACCGCAATTTGCAGTACATAGCGTCAGGTCTTTATCATCCGTATGTGGGCGTTCTCTGGAAAAGTGTTCCCCCAGGCGCATCTAACACATTTAGTGGTATAATTGCATCCCATCCGAGTGTGATGAAAGCCTGCTACCTGTAAAGCCTGTGTGGGGCTTTGGTAACCTTTATACTGTTCAACTTTAATAGTGAGATTTTAGGGAGTGATGTCAAGAAAAGTGAGAACTCAATAACTTCACCATTACGTTTTCTTGAAAGTTATTTAATATCATCAATAGTATAATTAAGAGCCTCAAGCTCCTCCCTGATATCCTCAATTTTTGTCCTATTGGTTAGACCTCGGATAACAACTTTAATGTTTTTGTCTTGAGGTAACGCATATGAATGGTGTTCAACGTCAAGTTTTTTGAGTAGCCTAACAACTCTGTAACTATCAGCATTTTGTGCAAACACTTTTATGGGGTTCATAGTGTATTGACCTCGAAATTTAATACTTTTCTGGTGAAAGAACTGTCTGATTTATTTCCATGTGTATTTATTTTCCTTAAGTGTGATTGGGGGAATTCTAGAGTCATTTTGGATATTATCCTCTTTTCCTTATTTTCAGTAATATTTCCAGTGTTTGGATTTTATTTTTCGATGACAATATTAGTGACCATGTCCTCAGAAACAATTTTAGAACTAATTTGTTTTTCATTATTATTACTAGTTAATTTTTCATTTGTAACTACAGAAGAAATAGTTTGGGTAGGAATGTCAAGTTTAACCTTTTTGCATTATTGCAATAAGTCTTAGTTCGCAATGTTTGACCGCCTCTCCATTTTCCTGGGGGTTCTTCATCAGAGCTAGTATCTTTTGTCTAGCGGAATTTCATTAGTTTCAGTGTTGGATTCATCATGTAATATAATAGAGCTCCTCGCTTTATCATTTTTAGCAAAAAATTTACTATTACTTTTAGTTGCATGATTTCGTTTTAAGACTCATGTAGTTTGTGAATTCTCAGAATTTTGAGTGTTCATAACCTTAATCATATCTACTAAGCTTAATAAAAAGCTGTGCATTTTTTTCTCACTAACTGTAAATTCGCCATTTTTAATAAGTCCTCAATTTGTAATTGTACCGCTCCTATATGCCTTTCCATGGTCGACTAAGAAAACAATGCAAATCCAGCACACGGAAATAAATCGCATTAGAAACTTATGCCCCGGAATAGAGTCCGCACACGAAGGTGCCCCTCTACAGACGGATGGGCAAGTGGAGACTTACTAGGCCCTGACAATCACATAACTATGAAAGCTGGGGGGGGGGTTACTAGGTAAGCTATAAAATCTTGCTCAAAAGTCAATTAAAATATAGCAAAATATTCAATTTAAATAGCAATTATAGGCATCAAAGTAGAAATCATCCAGAAATTGTATGGCGTGGAAATATCAACAATCACGAGGATTCTCAAAAGCTCGTGATTACGCTAGATTGCGTGATGTCTAACGTCGCTAGATACGGGATCATACTCAAGTGGTCTGAGAGCGATGAAAGACAACATTCACTCACCGCCTATTCCCTACAAAAAATCAATCGAAAAACTGAATTTACAGTTTATTTATAATGCGGTCATGGAGGAATCAGTCACCAAATCCGCTTGGACCCCTCCCACAGCTAAGAAAACATGTACATGGCAGAGTGCCATGCGATATTACGGGCGATGGCATTAAATATCCGTATAACTCGTTGTTAGGAATATCGAAACGGCATCTATTCCCGAGATATCTCGGACGCGGTCGTTAAGCGGTTAAAGCATAATAAATGTTTTATTAATTGCAATTTTTATTTTAAAAGGACTGTATAAGTAGTTAATTTTAATTTATAGAACCATCAGATCTGCAATGTTGAAACTGTTTTATAAAATTCTCGATCTTTTAAGTGTTTCACTTATGTAAAATAAAGGAAAGAATTTAATTGAAACTGGAAGTACCTCCCTAGAATCAGACACATAACCACTTTTTTAAGCATCTTGCATATGTTCACATATTATGAGCCCCAAAAAATATTTCATTCATTTGCCAAAATTGGGAAATATAACATTCATTATAACCTCTTTCTAATAGCATCCTCTTGCTTAGGTTCTTGAAAATTCAGGTAGTTAGATGTGTTCTTGTATTTTCTTACCTGGAATAAAGTTTACTATCAGCTTTACTGATGCTGTTAATTACTTGTTTAGTAATTGGTTACTTGAAAATATGTTGGCTTTAATATGCCTTGGTTACATCATACCATAGCAAATCCAGCTTATTTAAAAAATTTGCAGCTGATTGTGCAAATTTTAATAACTGCAGCAAATTATCTTAGCTGGGTCTGTAAGAGTATGGTGTTTATACTGTATTCCATATGTTTTATTTGTATTGATTGTGTTTTGTTCATATGCTTGCCATAATCAAAGAATTAATCTGAAGCATTATAAATATAAGATTCCATTTTTCCTTACATGTGTGTGTGTGTTTTGTATTTTCATAAAATGTCATTGATAACTTAGTATTTATTGCTGTAGTTTTGTTTATAAATGTTACTTTTCACGTTAGTGATTTAAATTAAATATTCATTCTACATTTCTGATTTTACTAATGGCATTTAATCGTTTTAATTTAATTTTAAGGGACTTTCAGTTAACGCATATGGGACTATGGACAAAAAAGCTGGATATCCCAAGACCACAAAAAAGAGATGAAATAAGCATTCATATAATTAATGACACTTATGGTAATTCATCAAAATTCATAACTGTGAATATAAGTTTTTGAATATATGATAAACGACTGCAGTAAGTTCAGTTAACTATATTATTTTACCATAAAATTCAAATTATATTGTTTGTCAAAATTAAAGGATATTCTGAAAAAAAAATATGCTCATTGATCAGTTTTCAACCAGTGTCCAATGATGAAATAGTTTCAGTTATTAATTATCTGTTACTAAATGCAAACATGGACTTTTGTGCATAGGTTATTGCATGCAATACATAAATTAGGCAACTGGCAGCATCTTGTGCAATCGATGCATGTTAGAATTCAGGTGTGTATTGTTGTCTAAAGTTGATCCAGTATCTAAAAATTGTATTCATTAGTTATAATTTAGAGTCATCATTAAGTGAAGGGCAGAAGTGGCAGTAAATTGGTAAACTCAATGAAAATCTGAATCGTGATTGAGATATGATACCATTGAGACATGATTTTGTCTCAATGGTAACAAAATCTGATAAGCAGTGAATCAGTTAGTAGATAGCCTAGTCAAGGATAGCTAAGAGTAGCGGCTGCATCCAGACTTATTTTCTGTTATTGTTCACTAAAATTGTGAAGCACTTAAAAGGGAATTGGTTTTAGACTTGCTACAAGAATTCGGACTAGCCATTCAACTGCTGCACGAAAGCTTGACAGGGTAGGACTTTACATGAGAATGCCAGCAGGTTGTATCCCATTCACTTCAACTTCCAAAGCGGCCTGTTATGGTGGTTCAATTTGGGGTTATGTTCAATGGAGCCAAGAGAAATGGAACCATGTACTGTTTATTGACAAGCCTAGATGTAAATTGAACTATGATTCTAGATGTATTTTGATCTAAAAGGAGGAGAAACATACACTTGCCTTCCCTTGTCCATGGCAGATCTCATTTCCACAAAGGCTGTGTCATAATTTAGGATGAAATAACCAAAACTGCAACACTGATTTACATATCTTCAGTTAAAGTTATGTAATGGGCATACTGCTAACTTAAGGTTTTTATTAATGGATGACAATGCTCATTCACATCAAGCACCTCTGGTGTCTCATCAAGCGACGAAGTAACACATGCAGGTTCCCAGGCATCGTCTTACCCTGTGTATAGCAGGTGAAATGAATTTCTGAGCATATCTTTTCCTTGCTAGCATAAAGTTCAGGGGATTCGAATGCGAAGCATTCAGATGAAATGGTGAGAGCAATTATAGCAATTAGCGAAGTTGAAGGTGATGAGGATAGCAACTGAGTTCGTAGAGAGCAATTATAGCGATTTGGCATAACTTGCTTGCAAGAATATCTTGCGTGAATCCTCAGTGAGGTGATAAAATTCATTTCGTCTGACGAAGAGCAGTGGCTGTTGTCTTCGGCATAGAAGGAGTTGAACGGTCAGATCACTACAGGAGCTAAAACTATTGGAGGAGAGAGTAGGCATGGCTCAGTAAAACTATTTGCAGGCAATGAAGGAGGAGGAGCTAGGGGAGGATTTTCAGAGCCATACATAATTTTGGTATTGGTTGAGCCGAAAAGGAGGGATGTGTTAACTAAGCATTTTTGACAAATTGGAGAGTAGAATACAGACTATTTAGAAGTCAAATAATTTAATAAAATTTTTACAAGAAATTAAAGAAAAGCTTCTATAAATTAATTAAAAATATAATTTAAATTAAATAATGCAAAAAAAAAGAATTAAATTTGAGCCCAGCTCAGGCAACAATGATTATTCTTGAGATGCTGGAAAAACATTAATTAAGAGCTCTAAGGAGCGCACCGGGTCTTCTGCTGTTATTTCTATCATTATAATCGTAAACCCTTTCTGGAATACTGGAATTTTCTACACTGCTAAATTTTCTGAAAAATTTCTTGGCAATCTTAGCCATATACCATTGTAGCTGAGAAATTTTAAACTCTTCGTGAATAGCTGCACTCCAAATACACCATCGGCATCTAGAAATTTGCTGTAATATTAAATTTTGCAATATCTGCATTTTAATGTGCTTTTGACTGGCTAAACCCCGTACCGGACAGGCATAAGTTATTATGGAACGTAACATGGCTTTGTACAGGAGTAACTTATCATCGATAGACAAAACGGAATTCCGAGAAATTAAGAGGATACATAGTGTACAGACCTATTTAAGTGTAATTGAACTATTTTATTCACGCCATGAACTCATGAACTGTAACCGAACTATTTTATTTAAACGCCATCTCGTGGCGATATGAAAAAACGTCAGTCGACCTCCAGCCGCCATGATGATAGCTTACTATGTTATGTTATTCTCAATGTTTGATGTTCCATTTGGTATATGTTTCATTTTTTATGTATATTTCTTTTGTTTGTAACCGTTCCTGTGTGCTCTGTTAATAAATCCTTTTAAAGCTAGCCGGCATTAGTGTCTATTGAGGAACGGCTACATCACATTGGCGCCCAACTAAATTTGAATCCAAAATGGCGCAACAAAATGTTTAGAATTTCTGTTTGGCTTTGGCTTTAACAAGCTCTTACTCCCGAATTTAACTTTTAGTTGCTGGAGATCGGCTCAGTTTCTTTTCAGGTGTGGACTACTGGTCAAATATTCTGGAAACCAATTCTGGAATTAAAATTGTCATACCGTGCTGCTAGCACATCGAATCATCAACTGGACAATTTCAACGGAAAAGATAAGTTTCGTTTACATTATCGTTTAATCTGAGTTTAAAGTTCTTTTAAACTGATTATTTATTATAAGCTGCTTCTTAAAGCAAATGTAAATTCTTTACTGAAATCTCATTTATTGATACTACATAAGAGTATTAAACGAAAGCAAACGGCTTTCTGTTAACCAAACGTTATTTCTTGAATTGTAATTTGTTATTTTAAAATGTTAATGCGCATAGTAAATTAATTTGTGAATAATATTGTTTCACTGAATACATGTTTTGATGTTAAAGTTTGAATATATTCATGGACGTTGTTCATTAGAATTTATTAGTTTCGATTCTGACATACAGCAGCAGATGTTTTCCCCCCGCGGAAATGTTTAGACTAGCGATGATTTATGATGTGTTTACGTCAAATCTTTTATTATTTTTATTTCCTTTGAGTGCTGTTGTTCCTTATTAAATGTTTTATTCTACATAAAATAAAATATTGTACTTGTTGATTTATCTTTCGACGAACATTTTGAGAAAATGATTATAGTATAATACTTTAAGAAAATACGATTGTTTTCCTTTAATGAATGCATGTCTTAAAAAAATATTTCTTGAAGCGAAAGAAAATAATTATGAATAAAATCGAATGACTATTTAAATAAAGTAAAAGAGTTACTAAGTGTGTGTTGCTTAATCAGCTTAATATTTTGTTAAGATTAAGATTTCGAAGAATTCAGCTTAAATATAAAAGCTTATGGTAAGACATTTATGTATGTTTTATGTTTTGCTAAGTAGTAAACAATTTTTGAGCAATTTATTATATGTTATTTTCTTGATACAAGTTGAATTTATGAGGGCATTTTATGATATTTTTACGACTCCGAAATAATAAACTTTGTGAGTATTATTGTTTACATTTATAAATACTGTTTAATAGTGGTATATAAATGTACGAGTAACATTGTTTACATTCATACATGCTGTTTAATAGGGGTATATACATTTTACTTAAAGGTATAATTATTAATTCTAAAATACTGTATTGTGAATAAAATCGAAATAACAACAAATTCAACTTCATCTTTTCCCTCCCCCCTGACCTCTCATATAATTATGGCTTACCTTGCCAAAGCACGAAAAGAGGATTTAAAAACTCTCGCTGCAGAACTGGGTTTCACTGTAAACGACACTATGCGAGTAATAGATCTTAAAGATCTTATTGTCAATTCTGACACTTATGATGAGGCTTTTACCAGGAATCTTCTGGAAACTTTAATCGAAACTAGACAACAAAAACAACGTGAAAGCAACGATCTGGAGACACGTCAAAGAAAAGAACAAGAACTTTTATTAGAATTGGAACGTTTAAAATTAAACCTGGCAGCTGCTAGCTCAAACCCTAACTATGCCGCCTTTGCTTCAAATGCAGCTATTGGAACAAATATTCAACACCTAATCCCTAAATTTACAGGAACTTCTGACATTGCAACCTACCTGCAAATTTTTGAAAGACAATGTGAGAAAGTTAATATAAAACAAATAGATTACATCACTCATCTCCTACCTCTTCTGCCTATAGACATTTCGCAAATTATTTTAAGAGAACCAAAAGACAAATTAGAAGATTATTCTTACATCAAGAAGATTCTGCTACAAAGATTCAAATTAAATGCTGAATCATTTCGAATTAAACTTACTACACACCAAAACAACCCTGGGTCTTTATGGAAAGATTTTACTTACGAATTAAACAATTATCTCGAAGAGTGGCTCCATAGTCTCGATGTTACAGACTTTGAATCACTCAAAGACTTGGTCCTGACGGATCAGCTTAAAAGAAGAGTCAGTAGTGACGTTAAGGAGCATTTTATTGATACTTGGGGAAAAAATAAAGAGTTCATCTGAATTAGTACAGAAATTGGATGATTATGAAGCTGTACGTGTTAAAAATACGAACTATAAAACTGAACTTCCTGGCAGGCGGAACTATTCTTACAAACCGACTAATCCATCCAAACACAAAGTAGAAAATCGAACAAGTGACATACAGGAAACTCATAAAACCTTTTCAAATCGTGTTCAGCAACAAACAGAGGAAAAGCGACCTCCTTTAACATGCTATGGGTGCGGAAAAACTGGTTTTATCAAGTCTAAATGTCCAGACTGTAACCCCCCAAAGACTTCAAATTCATCAAATTTTGGCACTATCCAAATCCGATCCTGTTTATCTTCCACTCGGACTGCTGTATTTCCAATTAGTATTGGTGGTGTTTCCGGTACAGCTTTCGCCGACACTGGTGCTAGTCACTCAATTGCAAGTGAATCCCTCTATCATATTCTGCAAAAACAAGA